GGACTATACTGTACCAGTGTATACGTCGCATATCAAATTATCAAATCAAAATCATGTGTTATCATATCATGCTATTATATCATCATGTGTTGTTATCATATCATCATGTGTTGTTATCATAGCATGTGTTGTTATCATATCATCGTGTGTTGTTATCATATCATGTGTTGTTATCATATCATCATGTGTTGTTATCATACCACAGCCTATGGAATTAACAGAGCATCATTCACTATTATTCAACTTCTGTACATATGTCATGGTGACAATACTGTACACGTCATGTGATGACCCTGTACACGGCATAACCTCGTTGTACTACTACTACTACTACTACTACTACTGTACTACTACTACCTACCACTTACCCGTGTTAGAATTGATCTTCAGTAACCCATGCTTGTCGTAAGAATCGACTAACGGGATTGGGTGGTCAGGCTCGCTGACTTGGTTGACACATGTCATCGTATTCCAACTGCTTAGACCGATGCTCATGCTGTTGATCAATGGATTGTCTTTTCCAGACTCAATTATTTACAGACCGCCGCCGCTCGAATATTGCTGAGTGCGGCGTAAAACTAAACTCACCTACTCACTAAGGTTTTCGCAGATACTTCGGTTGTTTCTTGACACAGAGGACAATGTCCTCCCTGAGATAAAAAGAATTAAATACACATGCAACATGAATTAGACTACATTTGTAACCAGCAGCCTATTTTAGACGCAAAGAACCACACCTGGTTTCTAAAATAAACCAGACCACCTACTGATCAAATGTAGTTCTTTCATGTTCATTTGTAATGATCTAGCATTATAGCGGTATGCAAATCACAAACACGTGTTGCGCTCTTTCTTTGGTAAAAAAGGGCAATTGTCTTTTTTGCTGTCCCAAAATAGACAACGCTGATGCCTTGTCAACATGACCTGCAACGTAATGCGTCTAAAAAAGAGAACGGTATAATTGTTTACTTTCGGACAGGGGCGGTTTCAAAACACATTTTGTTTGTTTTTCGATTGAAAGGCTAAGCGTTGATAGTGATAGGACGTTCGAAGCGCTTAAACTTTTCATTTAAAACAAAGGCCGATAAAAGTCCGAGCAGCAAATAAGCTGTATCTGAGTGTATCGAAATAAAAGCAACGGTTATTGTTTCTTAAAGAATATAGGGTAATGGGTCAAATTAAAGATACCATCATAAAACAATCAACTGACACTTTACGAGCATCGTGTCCCTACACGTGAAATACAGAAGAAACCGATACACTCTTAATGTTTGTATTTGAATGTTTTGTGCATCTCTTCTTTGACAGATTAGCGTGCATGAGTGAATTTAGTTTTACGCCGCACTTAGCAATATTCCAGTTATATGGCGGCGGTCTGTAAATAATCGAGTCTGGACCAGACAATTCAGGGATCAACCAGATTAGAGTGAAAAGAGTTGCCTTTGTTGCTTTTCAGTATTTCATATCCGTACATTTCTAGTTCATACCCCCGCATGGGTACAATGTGTGAAACCCATTTCTGGTTTCCCCCGCCGTGATATTTCTGAAATATTGCTAAAAGCGGAGTAAAACAATAATTACTCACTTTAGTGCATACGCGTTTTACGCCGTTAGTCCATTCCGTTTTAACGACGTAACCAGTTTTGAGACCTCCTCTCAACGACAGGCTCAAGAGAAGCTTTCAACGGCAGACTGGGGTTTACCCGTGGAAGGACACGGAACAAACGGATCTACGGACAAGAGTCACTGTCAGTGCCCATAACTCGAAGAGAGGGACCATAAGCCTGCTAACCTTGGCCATTGTCGCTGACCAGGTAGCCTCGAAACAGCAAATATTGGCGTTGAAATATGGCCGCCATTTTGAGCAGAGGTCAAAATACCGATTGCAAACGTCACCGGAACAGGTCGAAACGTAAACAAATGTACGTTTAAGTTGTGAGATTCTCGCGAGATGTACAGAGGCAAAACTTGTCTCTACGTGCACTGAGCATATTTGTAGCCAGAACCCACTCCCGCTCGTCACATAGAATCATTGAGTGCCAATATTGACTGATGATGTTACTGTCTATTAAAAATGTCCGTGGGAGTCCACAAAGCTCTTCTTCCAGGCTAAGAATATGTAACTTTTTCTGATTTGTAACCTAAGAAATTCGAGCTATAGTGAGCCTTAGGTTCATAACAGGTATCGGAACGCTGGTGGAATAAAAGCGTCAGTTTGTTCGTGTTTTGGAATACTAAATATTATGGCAAATGAAACTAGGCCAAACAAATGAGGTATATACTTGATAGACCTGTGTGGACAGGAGCTGAGGATACATACGTGAAAATACTATTACTTTAAATATACATATTTGTAGCTAAACCCCAAGTGTACGTGAATCAAAGATAAGGAAGGAGTTCGCCAGAGAGAGAGAGACAGACAGACAGACAGCGCTTCACACCAGTGTGCGAAACAGTTTCCAAATGTTGCTATCCTAGCTATGCCTGAATTCAATAGCCCGAAATTTGAATGTATACACGGGTTTCATCATTAAGCTGCTGATATGATGAACATTTTTATCAGGCCATAATCTTACATGATTTAAAAGTGTGTTATAACTTAACAAGTCGGAGAGTGTGATATATTTACAAAATGACCCCATGAAAATGCACAAGCCTGACTGGATTTTTACTAGCCACGGGCTAGCGGGCCATTGTTATTGTTACAATCACTTCTGTGTAGGCTGGATGGATAAACAAGTGTCTTCCCATGTTCTAAAGCATCATACTATGACGTGACCAAGAGTTATTTTCTTGTAACAAAAATCATAGTGAGCTACAATTTTCCTATATCACTTCACGTTAACACCTTAATAAGAATTAACTGTTAAGTGATGACTTCCATTTATACCATTGTTTTGCCTGCATCTTTGTTGTCTTATTACTTTTGTTGTTCTTACATGTACATATATATGTTATCTGTCTCATATCATTCATTCACCTGATGAAGGAGTAAGGATATACTCCGAAACGTTGTGTTCCTCATAATAAAGAAGTTGACATCAATAAAAAAAGTGTACCTTATGTGTATCAGACCGCCTCTGTGGTGTAGTGGTTAGAGCGTACGCCCGGAGAGCGGAAGGTCGCGGGTTCGATCCCCGACCGCGTCATACCAAAAGACGTTCAAATATGGTACTTGTTGGTCCCTGCCTGGCGTTCGGCATTAATGGGTACAACAAGGACTAGTCGGCTCGGAGTCAGTATAATGTGTCTGAGTGGGGTATTAATGCTTCACTGCGGCATGGTATCTCAGTGGGCTAGCACTATAAAACCAGCTTCAGTCTGGGCTAGTACAAGCAGCCGCACATACACATACACACGCATGCACGTCGTCATATGAGCGAAATATTCTCAAGCACGACGTTAAACCCAATTTCACCTCACCTCACCTCACCTCACCTCACCTCACCTCATGTGTATCACTTCTGAATGGCATTCAAAGACCTAACACCTTAATAGTTCCTTAACGCCTTAATATGCAGGCCTTCCATCGCCGTAGACACCGAAACCCCATAAATCAGCTGTTTACAAGCCCAGCTGGGCTGGTGATATGTAACAAAGACTATCGGTTTACCGTATTCGATCATCAGTATGCATGTCAAGTGGGTGTTTACACCAAGCCATGTCGCTATGTACAATAGTATCCGTGTTACGCGTTGTTTATATTTATTACCTCGTCTCTGCAAGTATCACATGTGGGAATGTCAAACAAATGTCAATCACACGAGTTGTACATAGCATATTTACACCGGTTGGGATATATCATACTGATCAGGATATATTGCCTGCTTTGCTGCTACCGGGGTATTTAAAGTGGTGAGTGTTCATAAATTATGTTGTCTTAAGGAGGCATTTGATGTGAGTGAGTGAGTTTAGTTTTACGCCGCACTCAGCAATATTTCAGCAATATAACAACATAATCTTCACATCAAATGCACTCCGTGAAGGTCCGGGTTAGAATATTGAACTTCAGTAACCCATGCTTGTCGTAAGAGGCGACTAACGGGATCGGGTGGTCAGGCTCGCTGACTTGGTTGACACGTCATCGGTTCCCAATTGCGCAGATCGATGCTCATGCTGTTGATCACTGGATTGTCTGCTCCAGACTCGATTATTTACAGACCGCCGCCATATAGCTGGAATACTGCTGAGTGTGGCGAAAAACTAAACTCACTCACTCACTCACTCTTATCTGTATTAAGCCTTTCTTCTTTGGCGGATCTACTAAGGCGTAACTACCGTCTGTTAATGCTTTGACGCCAAGGGATGTATATTGAATGTGATACTCGTATATATTTTCTATAATAATAAAGTAAGATGAAATCAAATACTGTTTTACAGAGATCCACAAAGTAGGTTATAATAACATACTCGGGTATAACAATACATAAGACGGGTATAATAATATTCAGTGTCGAATGAAGAAATGACTGATCTGTACAGTTCTGCTATCTGTACAATAAGCAATCATGAAAAGATTTACAGTTATGTAACCATTGTCACGTGTATTCATCACCTGTTCTGTTTTGTTTTCCTGGGGTAGCCTAGTGGTTAAAGCGTTCGCTCGTCACGCAGGAGAACCCGGTTCGATTCCCCACAGGGTTACAATGTGTGAATTTCGTTTTCGGTGTCCCCAACCGTGATAGTCTTGCCAAGGCGGCGTAAAACAGCACTCACTAACTGATATTCTTGAATACACACGTGATGCACTATTACTCATAAATCATGTAAAAGAACTTTCATTGTACCACGGTGAATGAACATCAGCACGTTAACAGTCTGTCTAAACATAACATGATGATGTCAGTTTCCCTTCGCACTTATTGAGTCAAGGAAATAAATGTGACATTCTTCAGTGCAAAAAACTCTGCATCATCTCGTGCAAAGTTCATTTAGGCAGAGTTACGTGGTGTAAGGAAGCGCAACAGTATATCGCCATCTTGTCACTGTGTCAAGGGAAGGTTATGGTATAAGCTGAACTCTCGCAGCGCAACGTGTCAATAACGAATTCCGTTTCAGTGACAACTTACACAAATTGTTTCAGAAAGGAAGCGGGATTGCGAAGAAACAGTTAAAGGCACATCTGATCAACATATAGTGACATGTCACGGTCTGTACTCAACCCCCCGCGATACAGTTGCGTGACAAACTGGAAACTCCAGCAATAAGCGGATGCGCCAATTGACAGGATGTGTCTTTGCCGCGTTTCCATACATTCTACTGCTCCATGCAGCGACAGTGTAGCTGAGCTGTGTAACGTCCGCGACACGGAGTGACTGGTCAATGGCGATGGACACAGTTCATCCTATATAAGGACAGGTTGACCGGCCAGTTCATACATTCACAGCAAAAGTTTGCTTATACTATACATTACGATCTAAGTGGCGAACTCGCTCCATTGGAGTATACAAACTTTCATCCGTACGTTTATACAGGTAGGTTGTGTTTTCTTAGTATTTTCTTTATGAAACATATGAAAATGTTGTCTAACAACTTTACTTTGCACTGAATGCTCTAACTCATCGACTTATTTCTTTTTAACACTGACCAAAGTTTGATTGAATATTTTTATCCGATTGGTCACGAAATATATCATTTGTACAGAAAAACGCGGTAAAACGTATACAACGTATGATTTTTAGATATGGCGGCAATGCATTATCGCCATTTACCACTTGCGACTAATTATTTTTGCATTTCTGCTGTAAAATGTAATGACTATCACAACTTAATAAAGCTTAGTTTATTCCATTTGTATAGATTATTAACTGGAAGAAAGTAGGAAGCTGACAACATTCTTATACAGATGTCATGTTCGTGACATTGCACATTACTACATGTTATGATCATTTATATTCAGTATAACCCCCTTTCATATCGTCAAACCTGGTTTTGTGTTAAACTTAATATATCATTTTCAAAACATTGTACAATAATATGAACAAAGTCTGTCAGTAAAATATATTAGTTGTATTTCTTTTACCATAAACAAGGCTAGGATTTAGAACCATTGTGTCATCGATCGTTATAAACCCGCGGTATATTTGTTTAACGACCACTGCATTCCTTGATCAACACGTTGTTTCGAGTAGCGTAGCCTGGCAAACCACAACACCAAACAGTAGGACTGTTTCAAGTATATCTTTTTGTTCCAACGTCTACTCAGTTTCTTTTTCATGTATATAATGTTACAAATTTATACGTTATAAGAATATATTCATATCATACCAAGAATAACTGAGCTTAATTGTGTTATGATGTACTGGTGTCGTATGTTTAATGTTTATTGGTATGACGTCTATGTACACGTGTGCTTGGACCCACTGAAACTTGACGATACCTTTGTGTTATAAAATATGACGTCTACTGTACATGACTGAGGGTTTATGACTGGGATAAAATAGATCGTTTTAGTCAACAAGCCCCTTGTATCATTTCATTTGGCTTTAAACTCCCGTTTGAAATTACTTACAGGTTATATCCGATCCAGAATATATCTAGACCTTCTCATACAGGTTATATCCGATACAGAATATATCTAGACCTTCTCATACAGGTTATATCCGATACAGAATATATCTAGACCTTCTCATACAGGTTATATCCGATACAGAATATATCTAGACCCTCATTACATGATATTTTTATATTTCGCACATATCTAGACGTGACTAGTGCATACAGAATATATCTAGACCTCTCATACAGGTTATATCCGATACTATATCTAGACCTATTTCCCTCCTTCTCACAGGTTATATCAATCTCAATATATACAGAATATATCTAGACCTTCTCATACAGGTTATATCCGATCAAATATATCTCAACTCCGATACCTAGACCTGGTTATATCCGATACAGAATATACCTTCTCATACAGGTATATCCGATACAGACTAGACCTTCTCATACAGGTATATCAACTATATCTTCATACAGGTTGCATTGCAGACCCTCCGATACAGAATATATCTAGACCTTCTCATACAGCGATACAGAATATATCTAGACCTTTCACGGCTTTTTATATCTAGCTCAAGGCGCTGGTATTTCCCTCGATCACTGGATGTCAATCTCAACGGCACATCGTATTATCAATCTCAACTCCTAGACCTTCTCATACAGGGGAGAATACAACTCTTGGCGCACTGAGTTTCACGGCTTTCTCCTGTTACCCTTATAGTACCCATTCACAGCTGGGTGGACTGGGACACATAGTCACAGTACTTTGTCCAAGTTCACTGCACGTTGCTGTACCCGCAACTAGGTGTTTGCACGTATTCATGTGGCCACCATCTGGTCATATACCAACGGATTCGTGGGTTCTTTTAAGTGCACAGGGTTGTGTACTGTACACTAGGGGTTGTGACAACACTGAAAGAGTCTGCACACAAAGTTGACTCCAGGGTTTTACACCCGGTCACAGGTGGGCTCGATCCCGACACCTCAAGCTCGATGGATCACTAGCCTGGCGCTTTAGCCAGCTCGCCCACCGACCTACTCATGCAGTTTATATCCGATACAGAATAGATCATTATGAACTTCATACAGATGTACCCTTGTATGTAAAGGCGTACTGTCAATGTCTATAAAGCAACCTATTCTTATGAAACATCAGGGGCGGTGGGGTAGCCTAGTGGTTAAAGCGTTCGCTCGTCACGCCGAAGACCCGGGTTCGATTCCCCACACGGGCACAATGTTTGAAGCCCATGGTGTCCCCAGCCGTGATATTGCTGGAATATTGCTAAAAGCGGCGTAAAACTAAACTCAGTCAGTCAGTATGAAACATCTGTCCACCATGTATTAATGCAAGTAAAGTTTTATCAAAATTTTATATAAATAGTTACCACGAAATATTGAAGAAAATAGTAAGACGGGTTATGAATTATGTCGCTTAGTGACCAACAACGGCTCCATGGAGACCAGCAGCGGATGCTGCTAGAATCACTGGAATACAATATACAATTGTATTGTACGGAGCCGCAAGGAGGGCGTTGAACCCTACAGAGCTGAAATTGATGGGTGTGATTGATAGCTCGTTAGATATAATATTTCCGGAACTCAGGAATAATTCATGGTTGTTAATGCAGAAATATTCGATATTAATGGTTGCTGAAATACAAACCAGAAAACCTCTGTCATTAATCAGAATGGTATTAATTACTTCGATCCGCATCCACTAATCGACTCAGGGCACGTTTCCATGATCCCTACATTTAAAGGGACTCTCGCCACCGTTTTAAAGGGGATTTCATTGTAATGGGACGTAACATGTGAGAGCCGACCATTGTTTTGAAGAAAAACAACAACGTGTAATATGTTTAGTAATCTGGAAATATGCGTTTGTACTTCATCTTTGCTTTTCTCCTAATGTGCGTGTGTGCTGAAACGGAAATTTGCAGGACAAAAAAACAAATTTTCTGTGTGTAGTTTATCATTAGGTGTGGTTTAAACAAGAAACTATAACCCACAGTTCCAATAAATCGGTTCATAAGTGATTAACAGTACGCGACACCCTTGTATATTAAGTTTGTATTGTCTATGTTTAGTTTTTAAGTTCATTAAACCGTCTGGCTAGTGCTCTTTTTTGGTCACTGCAGCCAAAGAAAACAGTATAGTTTCAATGAAATTATACCAAGGGTATAAAAAAGTATTCTTTTTTTATTTTGACATTTTTATAGTTCATATGGTATTTCTTAAATTTCCCTACTTTCTGTAAAATATTATAATGTGTGTGTACTACCTTCTGGTAGACTAGTGGTTAGAGCGTTCGCTCGTTACGCCGAAGCCCGGTTTCGATTCCCTACATGGGTACAATGTGTGAAGCCCATTTCTGGCGCCCCCGCCGTGATAGTGCTGGAATATTACTAAAAGCGGCGTAAAACTATACTCAGTCTCTTAATGGAAGGCATGTTCACTCATATTTGGCAGTCGGTTTGATGGATGGCTATTTTTCGTTCAAGTGTGAAAAATGTACAATTGATTTTTTTCCCCCGGTATTGGATATGTGATTACTGACTTCTGATAGATTGTACCTCTCGTCAGAAGATGACCTCAGCTTCTCCACTTCCATTAAATATTAATCTTTTATACGACAACCTTAACTCAACAGAGATGTCAGATTGGTGTCAATAAATGTGATTATAGATGTTGTTGTTAAATCAATTACGAAAGACACGTAACGGATTATGTATTACCATAACTAGCCCTTCAGTGAGTTGTGCCAAGATTATTGACTAATGCCTTTGAGGCAAAGTCGTCCCTAACGACGTTTATCGCTCTTAATACCCTCCTGATAATCTGCAGGAATTGGATACTGTTTGAACAGCTTCGATAATCACTAAGAACACGAATGGCACCTATGTAGATTTGCTCAGTCCATGCCCTTTCCTACATTTCAATCTCGATATCTGCTTATATTATTCGTTATTCTTAGGTAATAATACCGGCGAAGAACTTCGTGCTGTGTCGTCACAGTTGTTTAACCCATTCTTTCCTTGTCCCCGAGAATCGACATGAGCATTCAAGGGTCCTTCCATTGGCCCGGGTAAACACGGCATGCAACATTAATACATGTATTTGCCCGGGGCAAAGGTTGTAGCAATACATGTATAGTGTATCATATGCATAAAGGCGTTTAACAATTATATGGTTACAGAGCTTACAAGGCTCTCAGGGACAGCATACACCATTCATATACATTTGACAAGGCTTAAGAAACTGTGTTTATTGTGGGTTGGGAACGAAGAGTGTTTGGTGGTCCTCATTTCATTCATTGCACGCATACGTGCTTTGAACTTGTAGCCGTTTTAGGAACTCTGGCTTGTATTTGTCAACGTAAACTACCTGGGACGACATTGGAGGTATCGCTGTGAGGAGAGTGAGGGGAATTTTAGTGAAGAATGTCTCGCGTTCTACTGGTGAGTTAAATTTACCTTCAAAAGCATTACTGAGGTTCTGTGTAAATATATCTCTGAAGGTGCACGGCCGAACCATCTTCCTTTCAGGTTTTGTAGATGTTTCGGGATGCCTTGAGAAGGATGGGTCTTTTGATAGGCGTAGCCATTGATTATTGAGGTATTGTTGTACATTGTTGGGAAATATGCATGTCAACAGTGTCATGTACAGTCATCTTAAATGCATGATGTGGAATTTGACGCACTTTTGTAACTGCCGCCCTGAGGTGAAATGATGTCATGTACAACAGGAAGAATAGAGAGAAGAACTTTTATGAATATTGTTTAATGTAAACTGAAGATGTGTGGTAGTGACTGGAGAGATCACTGAACATCTCACCCAACAGTATCTTAGCCACAGACAGCCACCAAACCACAAGACAACATCACACAAGCTCAGACAGTACCATCTCCACCGCAGACAGCCACCTCACACCAAACCATATCCACCGCAGACAGCCATCTCACACCACACCATCTCCACCGCAGACAGCCATCTCACACCACACCATCACATCCACCGCAGACAGCCACCTCACACTACACCATCTCCACCGCAGACAGCCATCTCCACCGCAGACAGCCATCTCACACCACACCATATGCACCGCAGACAGCCACCTCACACTACACCATCTCCACCGCAGACAGCCACCTCACACACCATCTCCACCGCAGACAGCCATCTCACACCTCACACCATCTCCACCGCAGACAGCCACCTCACACCACACCATCTCCACCGCAGACAGCCATCTCACACCACACCATCTCCACCGCAGACAGCCACCTCACACCCACTCACCATCTCCACCACCGCAGACAGACAGCCACCTCACACCACACACCATTTCCACCGCAGACAGCCATCTCACACCACACCATCTCCACCGCAGACAGCCACCTCACACCACACCATCTCCACCGCAGACAGCCACCTCACACCACCCCATCTCCACCGCAGACAGCCACCTCACACCACCCCATCTCCACCGCAGACAGCCACCTCACACCACACCATCTCCACCGCAGACAGCCATCTCACACCACACCATCTCCACGCACCCGCGCCCACCGGTCCCACCCCCATCCACCTCACCACAGACAGTCACCTCACACCACACCATCTCCACCGCAGACAGCCATCTCACACCCTCCACACCACCCCATCTCCACCGCCAGACAGCACCATCTCCACCGCAGACAGCCACCTCACACCATCTCCACCGCAGACAGCCATCTCACACCACATCACATCACATCAACTTCACCACTATTAGTAATGAGAAATAATCTTCATTAGAAATAGTACAATATATCGTTTGTTTTGGCTTCGTATGTACCTCCACTTTATCTCGCACATCTATCTCACTATATGTAATGTCTAAAGTATTCCCGACTACAATGTCACAATGCCACAGAGTTCTGTAAACAACATAGAATTCAAACAAATCTGATACCTGTCCTTCGAATCAGCATGTGACAATATGCAATTATGTGAATACATTTCCTAAAACACAGAGGACACAAGTTTCAAACTGCATATCTTTAAAACATCACAAAAGTATATTAAATATTCAAATGGTATCTCCTGTAAAAATCTTTGCCCACGTTTGTTTCTGTGAAAGGACTTCAATGGTTGATACATGTGTATGAACTGATTAATCACACGAAGCTGGGATCTGTAGTGTCTAGATGTAGCCACTGATCATGAGAAACACTGCCAGGCCGTGGTATCAGGACAAGGCATGGCTTTGAACGCTGTAGTAGATCCTCAGATTTGCTTGTAATGGGTACATTGTTTTCCCTACACGAACGTCGCGTCTGAGACAGCTGATTGTTTCCAGTCATGAACACACTGACATTGGGTACATGTCATTACTACTTTACTCGGTTATGTCGAATGTTTATGTTCCGCTAAGATGTTTAAAAAAATAAAACAATTTGTGCCAGACATATTTATTTTTCTGGAATATTCAGCCTCTTCATAATTAGAATTGTACAATAGGGACTTCATTATGCTCATAGTTTAAAGCGAGTTAGTGTAAGAAAAGGATTATGGAGAATATGTGACAATTTTCACGACTTTATGTATCATTATTAATGGTCCCAAAAGTGCCCCCTGCCCTATCCCCTCCTTCGTTCAACTCAATATACAGACAATGTACAAATGACTGATGTGACACAGACTGGAATCCGTACATTCCATTGTCTAAGAATTATATACCGAGGCTGCTGACACAGTTTGTTGATCAATATTTGATCCGCCTATTCCTCCGTAACTCAGTCTTTGCGTCACTCAGTCTTTGTGTCTGTACCTGGAAGAATCTTTACCTTTTAAACATTCTTCTGTTAATCGTCAAACAAGAAAGCAAACACATTTTTGTGTTAGTTAATTATTTATTTAGGTTTTTAGTGTTTACCTGTGTGATATCTTTTCGCCATGTTTTGATTTATACAAGTGGAAAGTCCGAGTTCCTAAAATGCATTATGTTGTATCTATATGTCTGTCTGTCTGTCTGTCTCCGCCATACAGCTGGAATATTGGAGTGCGGCGTAAAACTAAACACACTCACTCATTGTCTTTCTGTCTGTCTGTCTGTCTATATTTTTGTCTATCGTTATATCTGTCTATCTGTCATGAGTCCGATACCACATGCGTGTTGGCAATTCGTAGAAATTCTGCAAGGTACACTCTCTTAACGTTTCCAAACCAATTCTTTCAAACTCTGCCAGCAACAAGAAATCTGAGCTTTATATTTTCTGGCAGAGTTGCAATGCCATCCATTGAATGACGTCAATAAATATTTAGAAAATACCGTGTCTCTGAACTTCTTACCCCAGACTCTAAACCTTTCCAATCCCCCTTCAGAAAAACATCCCACCATCCAAAGTGTATTTTTTTTTATCGTGTGGGTGTTCAGTCCAAATTTTACGTCACTGCTTATTTATACCCCGGATTGACGCCTCGCCCCCGTCACAGCCAAAGGCCCTTAGTCCCCCTTTTTCTTAACGCTAACCCCATCCCGTTCCCTGGTCTGTTATGGTCTTCCCAAGGTCGAACGCTGGTGGTCCGCAAACCGTAATCAACTTGGGACAACAGCAAAGCCTGAACAAACAAACAAATCGTGTATCGGGATGAAGCCAGCTTCATTTCGCTTTTGGTGTGTGTGCGAGACTTGAGAGGGCCAACCAAGTTCCCTCCTTCCTAGCTGAGTGTAAATACAGATGGTCCCAGAGTAGTCCCTTGTCGAAGCACACAATCTCGCTGTGTAGTGCCAGGTCTAGTAACTGGTGGTTGACAGGGGAAAAACGGCTCTCACGTTCTTGAGGTATTGGACATACATCGTTGAAAGGTAGGGTAGCTGTTGATAGTAGTGTTAAATACTTTATAAATTGTTATAATGGGCATGTGTCGTTGGCAAGTCAGTTTTATGTAGTATAAGAGCATTGATGAATTGACATGAATCATTGAAAGATAGGGTCACTGTCGACAATGTTACATTGTAGTATCACTGAACTATTGGGTATATATACTCATGGAAACGAATAAAGGAACACATGAAAGTACAAGTGTTCCGTTATTCATTTCCAGAATTTCACCCACAGTGAAATACATACCTTGTGAAGAAACCTGAAAAAATAAAGGAACAATTGTACTTTCACGTGTTCCCTTATTCGTTACCATGAGTATAAATATAATTCAGATTATTCGTGGAATTTGTACACATCACATGATCATTTATGATTAAACATGCAAAATTATATGACTGGGACTTTTTCGACTCTGTTAAACACAATGACTATGACGTGAATCATTAGCAAGATAACTCGTTGATAAAGTTCACATCATATGATCACTGATGATTGAACGTGCAACATTAAGTGACTGGGTCTCCGTCCAAAATTTGTCTAATTGGCACGGTAACCCAATGATAGTATACGTCAGTGGACTGCACGTGGAGTAAGATCGAACTTCTAAAATGTCAATATAACAGATCGTTGATGCTGGGCTGTAATATACATATGCATTAACGACTGGACGTACGAATTTGAATGGTCGACTGGTTGTCGATACAGTATTACATAGTGAATACAAGTAAACAGTTAAATATGACTGAGATATCGTGTGTATCTAATTGAAAGCATAGTCCACTGCTTTCTGCATATCCTTTTTAGAACTCTTTCCACTGTTCGGTTGAAGAAACGGTCCATACACTTTACTTAGTAAAGGTACGCTAGTGATTTATGTTGTTCTTTACTCTTCTTTACTATTTATGAGGAGTAAAAAAAGCTTGATTACACTGTTTACAAAGGGGAATTGGTCAGCTCATGATAGGTACAGAACCAGACGCTGTTTAACAGAATTATATGCAATGTTACCAAATACCCCAGTGGTCGAATTCGGTATATGTCAAAAGATGTGTAACAAATAATTGATGCCATTTTTATCTCATCCGACTATACTACAGTGAAACGACAGCTTCTATTCGTATTGGGGGCGATGGGGTAGCCAAGTGGTTAAAGCGTTCGCTCGTCATGCCAAAGACCCGGGTTCGATTCCCCACATGGATACAATTTGTGAAGCCAATTTCTGGTGTCCCTCGCCGTGATATTGCTGGAATATTGCTAAAAGCGGCGTAAAACTAAACGGACTCACTCTATTCGTATAGCACTCGGAAGTACAAATTTAAATGCACAGGTTATATGGAAAAGAATTTGTATGATTTCAGATTATATATATATATATATATATCATGTAAATATTTACTAGTTATAGAAGTTATTCAGACTCACAATGATCGCAACTATATGAAAATGCAACAAAACTAATAAAAATTATTAATTAATCTAACTGTGAAGTAGATATGCTGTATTGTATGCCTAATCTACTTTAAAACATGTTTGCACTGACGGTAAGAGACAGCCATTTACACAGACCGTTCAGCTGTGCGGTCATAAGGTATTGCACATGACTACAAGTGGTTATATAGAATCATTTATCAGTATGTCACAACCCTCAACTCATGGGTCTTGTCCCCGGGTGTGTGCTAACAGCGATATAATCTCGGGGTGGTGATAAGGGGTAGTTAATCCCAAGTATGGGTGCACATCACACGCTGACTCCTCAACTGGATTACAAGTCAGGGAGCCCACATATTTGACTATCGATTTATTGACGGCGGTCTTGAGCGTGCCTGGAATACCTGTATGTCCATTTTGGTCGCTGGACACTTCATTGATTGACCATTGTTGGGGGACTTTAGTGGAGAAGAATAAATCATGTTTAATGCTTAAGAGAATATTACCGATAAATATACGAAATAGTTTGTTATTTGGGTTCACGTGAACCAAATATTTACAACCTTTAGTTTGGAACAAATATTAACAATTTCTGGGATCCGAGCTGCCTGTACAAAAGTGAATATGTTGCTGATATACTAAACAGAAATAGTAACAGATGATGAGCATTTTGTAATCTTTACCAAAACTCATGCCCACAATATTCATTATCTTATATTTATTCAGTAGAATCTCAAGACGGCTATTACCATAAACAAGCACATCCAAACTACAGAGAACTGAAGGACCTATGGAGTCATTCAAATAAGATGCTTACATGATCAAATAAATAGAAATTCGATAGGACATGGCATGAATATCAAATAAATTCAGCTTTGGGTCATTTGAATGACCCGATCAAGATACCACTATAAAATATAATAATGTAATATAAATGTAACTGTCTATACTGATAAGTGGTGTATTTTAACTGTCGTGTTCCACCGCGTTGACTTAACTGTGGAACCCTTACTCCCCTTTGTCCGAGTAAAATGCACCGTGCATGATTTCAACACTACAGGTGACACAATATGACATACTTTTCCAGCTGATTTGTATATTTCAATATCGTGTATGATTATTTGTGAATAATAGCCTAGCGTCTCCCCAGGGGTCTGACGACCAACGGCAACTTTTCATATCCTTAACACTTTCCTTTACTTTCCAAGCCATGGAAAGGCCTTCCTTGTCTATAATTGTATAGCGAGTTTGTACCAGTGGAATATAAAGTACTGTTACTTATAGTGTTGTTGTATCGTCACTGTCGTTGGAATAATTGCAATATGTATACCTTTGAGTATTTCTTTATTGCCGGCTTAAAACTCGACAGAATGTTTTCAGTTTGCTAAATGTGTTCATACATGTGCATGGGCCAATGTGTTATAAAATATACAGCGTGTAAACAGCTATTAAAGGGGTAATAAAGTCAATGTAGTGCAATATAAAAGTGTAACGATTCTTAAAGGTGTTTCGCTGTAAAGATATGACGTCAGAGTCGAGGCCGGCGATCTGTATCTGAAATGGTTCTATAACGACAATGGTCATATTGCCTTCTCTGTACATGACTTGGTCCATACAATCACGGTCTAGGCTATTGTGGGCAGGGGATTACAAACATATTCATATCTCAATACATCGATGTTTTGCTATAGGGCTACAACATTACTGCATTAGGCCCTTCACAAAGTCGGATTCATAGTTCTACAGTGTGCCTAGTGAATTAGCTCAAAGTGCTATACCAGCGATACATCTATTTACCTTATGTTGAAAGGAAATAATGAAATGTTTGCCTGAGCTGGTGTTATTTATTTGCTTACCGACTCATGCATGTAAAAGAGATTAAATGCCAGAGTTCAGTGAGCGGTTGAGTTAAATAGATTACGAAACACAGGAGACGTTTCCTCTTCAGTTGTTGCTAGACTCTTGACTACATGTCTTCCTTGTGGTAAAGTGAGGCATACCTGTGTAGTTGAAGCGGAGAGCGCACGTGCCCTGTGGATCAGCATGAAATTGATTTGTCAGTGGTTGGAAAATGGCGTGCTGTGGTCTGGCTGTGGTTGTTACTAGATTGTAACTGTGAATGCTGTTGAAGACAGAATAGATCCTATCGTCGACATGTTCACTGATGGTTCATGATGAAAGGAGTCCGATTTCTTTGGAGGATCACCGTTTTCATAATGTGAAATTCTAGGTAATGCAGGGTTGTTATATAAGTCCTTTCTTATTTATTTATTCATTCCAAATAGCACTATGTAAGAGCTGGCTTGGTGGTTACAAATACATCGTTTGTTATTCACCTGGGATACTTTTACGAAACGTAATTATGTATTTACGAAGATATGTGATGTAAAGTTAAATTCACACTTACGTTTCTTAATTCGTTTCCTGATAAAGTCAACATTGATTATCTTTGCTGATTCGTAAATGAGCAAGCTGGTCGTTTAAATACTGGAAGTAGGACGCTTTTTAATCAGTGTTTTACATGTAAAGCGCATAGATGGCGTTATATATAATGACACAAATAATGAGAACACAAGCTCCACAGACGACATGTTTGTAGTCTCAATCCAATGATAACGCATATCGGCCATATCTATTAATGGATCAAGGATAGTGTTAGGCTTCGTATAAACACATTAACTGAACAAACTCTATGAGGTATATGGTCTCCAACTTTCAGTGAGTACTAAAGAAGGGTGACATGTCTTGTAGTAAATAATGCATAATGACAGCAGATATTATTAGAGAAATGATTCACAAAGCAGACGAGACGAACCTTCAGCTACAGAAGGAACATTACCTATATTGTACTGTACCTATATTACCTATATTACTGTTCACAGCTGGTAGTTGGCGATCTATAGCCCGTGTTTTATATTGTATTGTCTTCTTTAATTGGAATGTTTTAGCTTTGTTCGCTAGTTTTATATTATATCTGTGATTATCTAGTATTTTTACTGTCCATCGTCGACAGGTTTTAATCCTCAAAATATTTTCACTTTTTATTGTATAAATTGTTTTCGTCACGATATGGCTGAGATATTGCCGATGTGACGTTAAATAATAACTCACTCACTCACTCACTCACTCACAGCTGGTAGTTATAGGTTGTTTGTATGGATATATGCATGTTTATTTACAGAATACATGCACATAAATCACACATACAATTTATTGCAAGATGATATTATTTTTGAATGATATTATTACCTTGTCTTTCTATTACAAACTAATATGGTTATTAGAATGATCAAATTATGTACAACGAGCATACTACATCCATTGTATATCATCAACGGGCTGAAAACATTACGATCCCAATAATACTTCTAAAATTAACATAATTATATATGACGAATTATATAAACTTATAATATTTCCGTCACATGTTTGAGGAGGCAAGGTTTGCATTTGTGACTCAACTATTTTGATTTTAATCATTGGTTCCGAAAATTTCGGGGGAAAAGAGAATGTATTATTTCACACATTTCAAAATACTTCTTAAGAAGCGTGTTATACGTCAAAGAACAGAAAACGGGGAGACTATTTAATGAATTACGCCTTCAAGAAATTACCATTACAGATTGTACAAAGGCTGGAAATCACAATGGGTAAAGACGTTTATACGAGTAATTGTGTTCTTATCAGAATGTACATCCATGCACTCGTTCGAGTTCTCACAACAATACACGACAGTGCACACAGACCCGTTTGACTGATCATACATGGGACTGTTTGACTGATCAGTATTAGCCACGCAACGCTCAGCTATCGCATGCTTCACCTGTCGGGATTTCCTTCTCCCGATTAGCCGTGAGCTGAGCACCACGCTCGGTTCTCTCGCTTGTTTGGGGCATGGCTCGAGGGAACCTGTACGAGCTGTCGAAGTGGGAGATTTAAATATACCTGGATGTCATAAGGGATTAAGGTCTATAGAAGTTACGTGTCTTGATTTACCTGTGTCTCGTTGCTTGTTTCTGTGATACGGCTCAGACATGGACTGGATGCAAACAGACCTTTTATATCAGGACAATTACCTCGGGATTGTTTGATGTGCCGGTTACTGGATATGTTGGTAGGAGATCTTTAACGTCATATTTTGTTTTATGCGATAGTTAGCTTGTTGTATGCTGTAAGGATTTTCGTGAACATAAAACCTTTTTCGAGCAGTGAGAATTCTCAGGTCATAATCAATATCTCATGGGTTAATCATTTGCTTTGGTATGTATGTTTGTTGCTGGATATGTTGGTATGTACGTTTGTTGCTGGATATGTTGGTATGTATGTTTGTTGCTGGATATGTTGGTATGTATGTTTGTTGCTGGATATGTTGGTATGTATGTTTGTTGCTGGATATGTTGGTATGTATGTTTGTTGCTGGATATGTTGGTATGTATGTTTGTTGCTGGATATGTTGGTATGTATGTTTGTTGCTGGATATGTTGGTATGTATGTTTGTTGCTGGATATGTTGGTATGTATGTTTGTTGCTGGATATGTTGGTATGTATGTTTGTTGCTGGATATGTTGGTATGTATGTTTGTTGCTGGATATGTTGGTATATATGTTATGTTTGTTGCTGGATATGTTGGTATGTATGTTTGCTTGCTGGATATGTTGGTATGTATGTTTGTTGCTGGATATGTTGGTATGTATGTTTGTTGCTGGATATGTTGGTATGTATGTTTGTTGCTGGATATGTTGGTATGTATGTTTGTTGCTGGATATGTTGGTATGTATGTTTGTTGCTGGATATGTTGGTATGTATGTTTGTTGCTGGATATGTTGGTATGAAATCTTTAACTTCATATTCATACAATACTTCGTTTTATGCATTTGTTAGCTTATCCTTTATCCTGAAAGAATTCTCATGAACGTATAACCTTGTTGAACAGTGTTAATGCTCAGTTTTGCCAGTCTCATGTCTAAACCATTTTCCTTTGATATATATAGGTTTTATCGTCGAAGTGATTACGATACAATTACTCAGAACCGTAAACTGCTGATCCCAGTCAGTTAATCCACATAGTACAATTACACCAGAAAAGGGTAAGTTTTGTACGTGATAAGATGACTGTGGATATTTCCAGTCGTAAATTACTCTCAATGTCCACAACACTTCGATCAATGTATTACGTTAAGCAGGTATTCTACTTGAGTACAACATCCATTTCATAGGACGGTGAGGTTGAGTTGAGTTCTGTGGGATCTATACGTAATCACTCACTCACTCACTCACTCACTCACTCACTCACGCGAATACCGAGTTGGGATATCCAACCAGTGAACGCTGGTTTCTGTGAATTTGTCGTCGCCATACTGTTTCCTTCGTGACTGAGACACGAGTTCATCTCTCCCCGAGGCTTCATATGTTAAGTTGATGTTATATTTCGACAGGATGCAAATACCCCTCAGGCCCATGTTTTACTGTTATATGCAAATCAATGATAGAAAGCCAAGAAACGGCCTAGAGCCTCGTTCCTGAAAGCGATTGTAGCGCTACGACTGTCGTAAGTCTATGTTAAAGTATGGGAGTTACGATCACCTTAGCGCTACGACTGTCGTAAGTCTATGTTAAAGTATGGGAGTTACGATCATCTTAGCGCTACGACTGTCGTAAGTCTATGTTAAAGTATGGGAGTTACGATCACCTTAGCGCTACGACTGTCGTAAGTCTATGTTAAAGTATGGGAGTTACGATCACCTTAGCGCTTCGACTGTCGTAAGCCTATGTTAAGGTATGGGAGTTACGATCACCTTAGCGCTACGACTGTCGTAAGTCTATGTTAAAGTATGGGAGTTCCGATCACCTTAGCGCTACGACTGTCGTAAGTCTATGTTAAGGTATGGGAGTTACGATCGTCTTAGGGTTACGATCGCTTTGAGGAACGGGGCCCATGTTAACCATAGAGCTGTAACATTTTGTGATCTATCTCTCAGTGGCAGTTAGCAGTACTTCTAAAAATACACGGTGTTTATGACTATACTTGACATCATTTCGCTATGGTCATCAACGTGACCACTAGTCACGGATCCGAACTAATCCAGTTTGGTGAATATTGAAACCAATTCCCTACTCTCTAACAGTATTCGGTATTCAAATCCCGATTCGCTTTGATTATGTTCCTAGTTTTTCGGCACCATAACCGTGCTCGTGGGTCTCTGGGTCTCACCAAAGTGGCAAACGTCGGGGACCAGCATCACGGGCTCCAAACACAATTACTCACTAATACTTGGACACCTTAATAACTTAAGTGTTCAATTACAGGTACAGATTGAACATATCTCCCGCAGAGGAATATAGATGCCTACAGATGCCTGCGCAAGACATTGTACATTTTCACTGACTTGTATTAAATGTTGTATTAATGAGGATGTATTTATGTGTTTCAGGTTGACGCTAACACAGACCGCGGTTGTGAGGAGTAGTAGACACAGCCATGCACTGTACTGACCATACCCACCTGCCCTCCCTGGACTTGAGGAAAGGGGAGGGGGTTTTCATATGCCCCATCCAGAATTCCACTGTCCTCCTCGGGAGCCATGAACTGAAGATGTCCGGCATGACCACCTTCTGGAAGTCGCCTTACAACGGGGTGGTGAAAATCAACTCGCCCCTCACATACAAGCACGCTAAAGCTTTGAACCTTAGCAGCAGGCGATCAGACGATCCGAAACAGCTCGGTCTTGTCAAGAGCATTTTGAAGAACAGTCGGTCTCGAGAGAGTGAGTCGGATACTTCGTCAACAGATGAAACTAAGAAGCTTCGTGGAATCCTCACGAAAAGAGGAGACAGCGCAGATACTAAGAAGCGAACTGGCAAACGGGTCAAGTTTGATGACAAGCTGGTCAAATTACACGAAATAGGCAGACGATATGCAGCGCAGACGACAGGTGAAAGTGCAAGCGGAGATGACGTTGATGAAAGGTCAACGCAGATCGACCCACCCCGAGTTCTCAGAGAAATCAACGGCAATCGTCAGGTCGATGATGATGCTGGCATGTGCAGTCATAAAGCTCAAAATCCGTTCTTGAAATCTGCCACAACACCGGATCTCCGTGTAGGCGGTACGTCGTGTGGGTTTCCCCTGCAGAGTAAACAGCAACACCCAAACCGGTTGTTTTATGAAAGAGACTTCAGAGGTTCGTCTGCCAGATCTGAAAACATCAAAGTTGTAGAATATGAAAGAAATGCTCCTCGAGAAAGAGGACACCCACGTCTGTGTCGGGCATACACCTCTCCTATGTTATATTCTCAAAAATGTCACCGAAAATCTGCGCAGAATCTTATCATATACAGACAAGAGCTCATCCCCGACGACAGACACTCCAACAGAAGCACCAAGAGCGCGGGAAGCAGCTCCAGACAACGAATCATCATCCAAGCCCCCTCTATAACCAGTGATAGATCTGACGTCAGCAATGGCAGTCATTTGAATAGGACAAACTTTTGTAATGATGACAAAACATGTCAGATTGTCAGATGGCTTAGAAATGTGAATGACACTCAGGCTAAAGAAGGAAGATGTCCTGTTCTTCTGACAATGAGTTCCCACGGACTACGAGACCCTTGAAACTCCGTGATCTAGAATCCTCCATAAGATGAAGAGTTTCCGAGGTGGTGTCAGTCCACGAATGACATCCGTAGGCCTCTGAGTTCACTTTGGCCTTGTTGATGAGGTGTCTGAGTTCGAATCCCACTACGCGTGATACGGGAAGTTGCACATGACTCGTTTATGGTTCCTCGGCGTAACATTCCTACTGTGACAGCGACCCAGGATCAAACCATGGACGCAAAGTGGTACATTCACATACAACGGTCAACATTCGCAAATACATTTGCCTCTGTCTCGAGGACCAGGTACGTCAAGTAATGACACTTACAAAGCAATGTGTGATCTGATTCGATGAATAATTTCAGTTTACATCATCATTTCATCAGACGAGATACCATCAGAAAACACAGTCAGCAATGTGGTCTGTAAAGCGACGTAAGTGCTACGTATGTTGTGCATTGCACTATCACAAAGGGAATAAGCATCGTTATTCTTCATGGACCATATGCTAAACTGACGGGCAAAAGAAATTATACACTTGACAAAGAATGATACATTTTATTTAAACAGTCACCGAAACCCTGAAAACTGAGGGCCAAATACATCCACAACCCGTATCAAATACATCGCCATCTTCATTTCTTGTTTGAAAACACGGGTGTATACTTTCTTTTGCTCGTCAGTTTAGTTTTTATGACTTCACGAATGAACTTCCAAGATCATTCCCAAGTGACTGTAGCAAAGATCATGTTTGTATATTGACATAAAAACAATCAATATTTTAGATTCAGAAGCTGATCACAGCATCGCCTTCCTATGTAATAGAGACGTATCAGTTCCAGTTGATCTTATGTTTTTATTTCCTCAACGAACACATTTGTCCCTCGGACAAACATGACAATGGTTATATTTATTTCACTGAGGTACAGTGGTCTCAAGTTTATGTACAAAAGATCAAAGTTCTGTGTCGTAGTCACTCTTCGCAGTTTCTTCGGAAGCGTTGTAGGACCTCTGACGAATGTCAAAATGACAGATATACAATACTTAACGTTGAAAGAACTTGACCTTTCTACTGCGTATGTTAGAATGTGTTTAGAATGAATTTATACCAACCCAGGAATTTTCCTATGCAAAGTCTAATCTTTTAAATTTTAAAATGATTTTATATTTGAATTGTATCACTTTGTGCAGTGAATCAACAGAGGAATGTTAACACAACCTAATTTCGCCTTAATTTCTATAACATTCCAAAATGAGCACTATTAAATAGTGTTACTGCGAACATATATTGTCTAATTTCGTTTCGACTTCAGTAGGGCAATATATGTTTTGAAACAAAGTGATCAATTCATAATAAACGAAATATCTTGATCATGTATACTGACTGAAAGAAATAAGGGAACGTTCAACAAGCATGTGATGTGTATTGCTATGGAACTTTGTATAAACCGGAACAAATATATACATGAATACGTCACTCAGTGGCTTCTTGTGTTTAATAACTCATCGAGTGAGTTTGATCTAAAGACGTTATGAACATTATTTCTGTACTATTGAGGCTGATCTTGGATGCTTATCACTACAGTGAAACCCTCGAGGACGGCGATTGTGCTGACTAAGCATGAATTTGTTTTTGAGATTCAAACCCACGATCCAAGGTCGATATAAAAATTCATTTTAAATCGCAAATATGAATTACTTTGAAGTATATATGGTTCCTTACTTTGAAGTATATATGGTTTCCTTCTTTGTTTTCATCATTATATGTGTAGCAAGAAATATTGAACAGTTTTCGATGTCCATATATTGAACGAGACTGGATTTGAAATTGTTTTTGAGTTTTATAAAAAAAGGAAGATCGTCAAATGTGTATTTCTACGCAACTACTGGATTCACAACCAGTAGTAACCACACCGTCGATGTATCAGAAGTTCCTGAATTGTTATCTCTTGTGGGAGAAATGTAAAATAAGTATTTTTGTATGTTTCATGTTTTGTACAGTTGGACTGGCTGGTTTCCATCCTAAATGTCAATAAATATTAACAACAGTAAAAATCTGTTTTCGTTGTTTATTGTTCGGTTAAGAACAATGCTTTGGTATTGAGACCGAATTAGTGTCCTTATGGGTAGAGCGTCAAGTCGGTGAGTGGAATGTCTGAGGCTCGAATACCAAACTGCGTTATAGCAAATGAAGGTACTTCTTGTTATCCTGCCTGGCGCTCGTTACTAAGGAGATCATTGTGTGAGTGAGTGAGTTTAGTTTTACGCCTCACTCAGCAATATTCCAACTATATCGCGGTGATCTGTAAATAATCGAGTCTGGACCAGACAATCCAGTGATCAACAGCATGAGCATAAATCTACGCAAATGGGATACGATGACATGTGGCAACCAAGTCAGCAAGCCTGACCAGCCTATCCCGTTAGTCGCCTCTAACGACAAGCATGGGTTACTGAAGATCAATTCGGAGTCACTACACTGTGTCTGTGTTGGGTGTATTATTCATGTTGGGTATTCATGTTGGGTATTCATCTATGGGATGGTATACGGAAGAAAGATCCATCACTTGACAAACATTCTGCCGCTGTGTCTTGTGACTTAAATTATGGTTTTTAAACCCTAAATGAATGGAAAGCAACAGCATACTGACGACTGGTCAACCCACGCCACACCACCACCACCACCACCACCCCCCAACATATCGTAAGTGACGCCGTGAAGCCCACGAGCATGGTGTAGGTAGTGTAAAAACAATTTGATAGATCTGGAATACGAACCTCGGAGCCTGGCAACTCTTCACGAGGACGCTATAGAACTATTGGGCCACCCATCCCAGCGAATACAGGAGAGATCATTTGATGCAAGGACGTGTTCGAGTCCCATCCTCGCAAACAAGAGGTGGATAGTACGAGCTATCAACTCCTTGCGAATCAGGTCACTCAGTGTGAGTGAGTACAGCTGTTACACATAAGACAGTATTCCATCCAGTATCCCATATCACGACAGGCACACCTATGGAATTCAGACGTAGGGAATCGAACCCGGATCTTGTGATGTGATAAGCGACCACCTTATCTACAAAGTCACCTTGTTCACAATTGCTATGCCTTCTGTGTACCGTTTTTGTTAGTTGCACCAGGAGAATCTCCATTTCACTCGAATATTTCTTTCATATATATACTGAATGGCAAAAGAAACGTCGTAATATTGGAAATGACATTTTTAAGTATCAATGGAGAATCTGAACCTATTTTTTTTAATACATACCAGAAGTCAAGTTTGAGGAAAACATGAATCGTGGTCGTATAGCCTGTTTTGCCCAATAAAGTATTGTTTGAGATTGAGGATGGAAAAGTTTTTGTTTGTGGAAAGGAAAAGGGAAGAGTTTGCACAAAGACAACATTGAACATACATGCATTCGGGCATAAATTGCCGGCTTGAATGGCAATCGTTCACTTGTTTTCTGAACACAGCAGCTATGGCTAGGTTAACGAGACATCAACGACAACAAGCCATTGGACGTCTAAACGCTGGTCAACGTGCTCGAGGTTCAAATACTCCATTGATACTTAAAATGTCATTTCCAATATTACGGCGTTTCTTTTGCCTTTCAGCATAGTTCCTTCAAGTCAAATCCATATTTAATGCAAACACCGCCAGGCCACCGTCCGCATGTCGTCTTGGGGTGAGGAAACATCAGCTATATATATATATATATATATAAGATCCTAGATCTCTGCGGACAAGGAGCGACCTAGATCTGGAGCGGTGTAACCCGAAACATAGAGAAGGCTGAGCTATGTCTTTCGCGTGTATACAAGCATGTAAATTCATATCGACAATATAAACCCTGATAAGGCGGGTTTAGCGTCCATTGCACTTTGAACAGAGACTCGACCTGATCGAAAGTCGATAAATCAATCAAGATTAATGTAAATTTGTGAACGCTGCGTGTCACAGGCTGAAACAGGTGAATAAAAAAATATGCTTATTTGGCGTAAGTTTGTAATGACAGTTTGTATGACACCCAATTACATTTTTTTCTTGGTGGAATGAATCCAATGTCATGTCTGTGGTATTAATGTGATTAAACATATTTTGATACGATTGTGTTCCTCAGTTCACTCGGTGGCTTATTGTGAGTGAATGTTGTTTTATGCAGCAGTAAGTAAAAGTCACTTTATATGCAATCTGGTTAATCAATCAAAACCAGGACGTAAGACAAATGGCTGAACCAAGCGTCTGTAACATACAATCAAACAGATTAGATATTATGGCCATTTTAAGGAGTAACTTACATTCCTACCATGTAGGGGTGTGTGTGTGTGTGTGTGTGGGGTGTGTGTGTGTGTGTGTGTGAGTGTTATTCTAGTAGCCTAATGGTTAAAGCGTTCGCTCGTCTCGCTGAAGACCTGGGTTCGATTTCCCACATGGGTACAATATGTGAAGCCAATTTCTGGCGTGTTCCACCGTGATATTGCTGGAATATTGCTAAAGGCGGAGTAAAATTAAACTCACTCACCCACTCTGCGGCTACTACTACTGCTGCTGCTGCTGCATCTACTATTTACCATTTATACTAAAAAGCTGTGTAAAACCATATTCACCCACTCACTCACTATTAAGCATAGATGGCAGCTGCCTGCATGTAGAAGGGAATGCACGGGGATACACTGGTCAGCAAACATATCCCCCTGATAAATTTTCAATTCTATGTTGCAGCAGCGAATGGGTACCCGATAGGTTAAGTATGACGAATTAAGCAATATTCTAGCAAGCTTATACATTGTTAACATTAAAAAGGAGTCGAATGAGGGAACGCAATAGCCACATCATATGGTGTCCCCCGCCGTGATATTGCTGTAATATTGTTAAAAGTTGCGCAAAACCCGATTCATTCACTCACTCACTCATAAATTTCATCAATGTGACTTGATCAGTAATTATGTTACAGTTGAAACCCGTTAATCCATACCATTACGCATTAAATTCATATGTCCGGATTAACGAGGCAAACATCAGTCTTTAAAATGTAGTCTCCAAATCGCAGGTACATGTCAGTTTGACCAAAACGTGTAGTGTTCACTTGTTTAACCCGATTAGTGCGATGAAGTCAGTTCCTCTCTACATGGTCTGTTTTACCTGTGTGGGCCCAGGGTTTAGCAGGTGCCCGGTATACACATCAAGTACCGCACACCGACCTGGCACCTCTCTGTGTGTGTGTGTGTGTGTGTGTGTGTGTGTGTGTGTGTGTGTGTGTGTGTGTGTGTGTGTGTGTGTGTGTGTGTGTGTGTGTGTGTGTGTGAGAGAGAGAGAGAGAGAGTGTGTGAGAGTGTGTGTGTGTGTGTGTGTGTGTGAGAGTGAGCGACAGGCATGGTTACATTGTGTAGTTTGGTTACAACGTGCTTACAAACTGTGTGCTATATAACAGACCTATCAGTATATCTTAGAAGCTTCTTATTGGTGTTTCCTATGTCCTAACGAATTGGGTATATACGACATACGTGGTAATGAGTGAGTGAGTGAGTTAAGTGTTACGCCGCACTCAGCAATATTCTACCGATCTGGCGGCGGTCTGGAAATAATCGAGTCTGGATCAGACAAGCCTGTGATCAACAGCATGAGCATCGATCTGCGCAGTTGGGAACCGATGACATGTGTCAACCAAGCCAGCGAGCCTGACCATCCGATCCCGTTAGTCGCCTCTTACGACAAGCAGTCGTACAGTAGTAGTAGTAGTAGCAGTAGTAGTAGTAGTAGTAGTAGTAGTAGTAGTAGTTGTAGTAGTAGTAGTAGCAGTAGTTGTAGTAGTAGTAGTAACAGCAGGCAGTAGTAGTAGCGTAGTAGCAGCAGTAGTAGTAGCAGTAGTAGTAGTAGTAGCAGTAGTGTAGTAGTGTAGTAGTAGTAGTAGCAGCAGTAGTAGTAGTAGTAGTAGTAGTAGTGTAGCAGCAGCAACAGCAGTAGCAGCAAATTAGTAGTAGCAGTAGTAGCAGTAGTAGTAGTAGTAGTATAGCAGTAGCAGTGCAGTGGTAGCAGTAGTAGCAGCAGCAGTAGTAATAGGTTAAATGAACGTGCATGCCAAATACTTGCTTTGGTAGCTGTTGTCTGGCTTCAGTCAGGTACAAATACTGGCTTCAGTGATTGTGGGATTGTCAAATACTGGGTTGTCAAATGCTGGATGAAGTGGTTGTCAAATACAGGTCCTCAGTGACTGGTTGTCAAATGGTAAAATACTGGATGAAGTGAGAGGTTGTTAAATACTGGATGAAGTCAAAATGTGAATACAGTGGTAGTGGTTGTCAAATAGTGGATAAAGTGGCAGTGGCAGCAGTGAGAGGTTGTCAAATACTGGGTGAAGTCAGAGGTTGTTAAATACGTCCTTTTGAAATGGAGGTTAGTGCAGTCACTGGATGAAGTGTGGGTTGTCAAATACCCTGGTGCAGTCAAGTGTTGTTAATACAGTGGACTTTGTCAAATACTGGATAAAGTTAGAGGTTGTCAAAATGCTGGATGAAGTGAAGGTTGTTAAATACAGGTCCTCTCAGTGTTGTTAAATACGGTCCCTCAGTGACTGGTTGTCAAATACTGGATGCGGTTGTTAAATACGGTCAAATGCTGGATGAAGTGGTTGTTAAATACTGGTCTGCAGTGACTGGTTGTCAAATACTGGGTGCAGTCAATGTGACTGGTTGTCAAATACTGGAACGTGGTTGTCAAATACTGGGTGCAGTGAGATGTGTCTGTAAACTGGGTGTTAAATACTGGTGCACCTGAATGTGAATGTATCAAATACTGGGTGCAGTACAATGTGAGTGATGTGGTTGTTAAATACTGGGTGCAGTCAATGTGAAATACTGGTTGTCAAATCCTGGGTGCAGTGAATGTGAATGTGGTTGTCAAGCACTGACTTCAGATACTGTGGTGTTTCAAAAGGCCTTTTCAACAGATCTTTGCCTGGAACAGCATGTGTGGGTTATGAGATGCCAGGTACTAAATATAACCGCATCACCTAGTGCTGTACAACACGCTAAACCTATAGCACCGGGTCTGATGA